TAGCTTGGGAGTCACCGCACCTAGTGCTCCGATTACCACTGGGACCACCGTCACCTTCACCCTCCACATTTTCTCCAGCTCTTCTCTGAACCCTTGGTATTTCTCGAGCTTCTCGTGTTCCTTCTTCCTGATGTTGCTCTTATTCGGGATCGCTACATCGATCACTACGGCTGTCTTCTTCTTTTTGTCTACCACCACTATGTCCGGTTGGTTAGCCACCACCATTTTGTCCATCTGTATCTGGAAGTCCCACAGGATCTTAGCTCGGTCATTCTCCATCACCCTTGGGGGCATCTCCCATTTTGACCTCGGGACTTCCAGGCCATACTTGGCACAGATGTTCCTGTACACTATGCCAGCCACTTGGTTATGGCGTTCCATGTATGCCCTGTCTGCTAGCATCTTGCGCCCTGCTGTTATGTGCTGGATTGTCTCAGGAGCATCTTTACACAGTCTGCACCTGGGGTCTTGCCTGGTGTGATAGACCCCAGCCTCTATGGATCTTGTGCTCAGAGCTTGTTCCTGTGCTGCCATGATTAGTGCCTCTGTGCTGTCTAATATTAGATTACATTACATTACGATATATATATATATATACATATATACTACCATTCTTGTAACAAACTGACTACCAGAAACATGTAAATTAAAAATTTACATTTTGATAGTAGAACAGGAAATAGTTGCAGCGATTTATTGACACATCTGCAAACACAGTATATAAGGCAAAAGCACAGTTTATATAATTTTAACAAGCTTGAAAGTCATTTTTTTGTGTAATCACCTTTTAATTCTTCAACATAGCCTGAACTTTCTTAAGAAAGCTTTCCTGCAATTTCTTTAAGAAGTCTTCAGGAATAGTTGTCCAGGTTTCTCGAAGGACATTCAAAGCTCTTCTTTGGATGTTGGCTACCTTTTGTTCTGTTCTCTGTCAAGATGATCCCACACTTCTTCAATCATGTTGTTTGCATTGGCACTGCGTTTGGGACCGTGAGCCATGCCGGTCAGATCCTTTCCAGATGGAATTGCATGGTGGATCAAAATCTGACAGTGTTTTTCAGCATTCATAATTTCATCACCTTTGCCAAGACCCCCAACACCACTGGCTAAGTACAGCCTCAAAGCATGACAGACCCTCCACCATGTTTTACAGATGGCTGCAGACACTCTGTTGTACCTCTCTCCTGACCTCTTCCACACAAACTGACAACGATTTGAACCACAAACTTCAAATTTGGATTCCTCACTCCATCAGACCTATTGGCACTGATTTTCAGTCCAGTGTAGTTTGGCATACCTCAGCCTTTTCTCCCTGTTTCCTTTCCTTAAGAAAAGCTTCTTGACAGCCACTGTTCCACTGAGGCTTCAGTGAACAGCACCTGGATCTAGGGCTGCTCGATTATGGCAAAAATGACAATCATGATTATTTTCACTGAAACTGAGATCTCGATTATTTGACGATATTTATTTAACAATAACAATGTATTGAATAATGACTTTAAAGATTGTCAAAAAATAATATAAAATAGTGTGCAAATACTGATAACAGTGCAAATGTTTGCAATATAAAAAATAAATGAAAAATGTAAACATCTATGTTTAGTGAACTTTGCAGTGTTGCTCTGTGGTTCAGCTACGACACTGTAGCAGAGTTTACACACTGTCTACTTGATCCACGTCTGACTCCGCGAACCCATAATGTTTCCACACCACTGAAGTTTTTTTTACCTCTCTTTTCAACCAACGGCAGTCACTCTCCTCTCCAAATAACTTCTGCTTAGCTTTCCGAGTTTCCCTCGGGTCCTCTTAATCAGCAGTCTCCAACCCCTGGGCCTCGGACCGGTACCGGTCCGTGAGTCGTTTGGTGCCGGGCTGCGAGAGTTGAGGCTCAGGTGTGAAATGTATAGTTTTCAGGGTTTTTATCGGTTTTCAGCGTTATTTTGTTATCGTTTTTATCGTTTACTCGGTTTTCCTTGGTCTTTTCACGTGTGTTATGAATAAATTTTATTTTTTTTGGTACCGGTACTAGTTTTATTTTGTTGTATTTATCCGCGACACCTTAAAGGCCGGTCCATGAAAATATTGTTGGGCATAAACCGGTCCGTGGCGCAAAAAAGGTTGGGGACCACTGCTCTTAATTGTTGTGACACGTGTTCGAAACACACGAAGCAGCGCGAGAGTAAAGCACGAGGGAGGGGCTAATAATTGGCTCAGTCATTTTTAATGATCGTTGAAAGCCCAGATCGTAATCATGATTAAAATTCAATTAATTGAGCAGCCCTACCTGGATCAACTAAAGTTTCAGCTGCAACTCTCTCGACTCTCAGATACTGTTCAGGATTCGTGAGGATACGTTTTTAACACCTGCCACATCATCTTTTGTCCTCCACTTATCCCGTTTCCTCGATTTTTTTTTTAATGACGCACTGCACAACATGGTGAATAGCTCTTTGGGAATCACCTTGTTGGTCCTAAAATAGTATTTCATGTCTGTTTCATTGGTTCAACTAAACAAAATGTAAACAAAGTATGTACTTTTGCAGGTAACAGTGTCTGAACATACCATTTAAATTTGGATATTTGTAAAGTTGTTATGTGCTGACACATCACAACACTGGTGCCTTTTTTACTACTAGAATGAAAGAAATGGGGGTGGATGAAGATTTTTGCCCAGTACTATATAAGAAAAGCCTGGAGGAGGAGCTAAATGATTCACTTTAACAACTGATTAAATTCCTTTTTAAACACCATAATTTTAATTATTGCGGCGTCTTTGTAATATTCCGGGTTAAAAAATTAAATCCATCCATTCCTGATTAACTGCGACAAATAAGCTGCAGGCACAAGCGCTCATCTTCACGGCACTTTTTACAGCTTTAAACGGTAAAAATAAACACACATTCCTTTGACCGTGTATGAAGATGGCTTCAAACGCAAATAATGACGAGCACACAGTGGAGCGAGAGAGTCAGAAACAAAGACAGCAAATGAGAAAAATAATGAAGTGTGTGGGAGTGTTTTTACATCTATACTAACTCAGGTGCTCTATCGTAAAAAAAAAAAAAAGAGAAAAATATGCTAATATAATCATCACATTTTGAACCTACGCAGATCTGACTGTAAATATTTAACCAACAATGAATATTCAGATCAATCTTTTTTTTGTCCCCCTCCGGTTGTGTGTCTCTTGAAGATGTGAAGGTGTGAGGAGCACTTCATTTAGCCAAGTGCCCTCTTTTAATAGTCTGCCAAGATACCGTGCTAATTAAAACACACATCCAGCAGTTCAAACCAGGTTCGCGGTAGGTGTTTTTGTTTCAGAAACAGTGAGAGCAGTTAGTTAATGCCAGTTTAGGATTGTCACTGTGCTGCATTTGAATATGAAAGGTGAATTTTAATAAAAACTCACAAGATGTGCCTCTGCTTGAAAGTGTATCAGCAAAAGTATTCAGCATACAGATAAGATATCACTCTATAACATGAATAAATGTAAAATAGCTGTCAGTCTGCTTACAATTAAAGAAAAAGGACATAAATGAGATGAAACGTTGAAGCCAATGTCTCAAAAGTATCCCAGAGTTTTTTTTAACTATGACTCCAACAGACCTCTGGGTTTAGCCTCTGCTGACAGATAAATCATGCTACCAAACTGTATACTCATGCATGTCAGAGGTATCAATGTGCTGTTTTCCCTTTGACCTGCCGATCAGTCTCTGATATTTTTCATATGATTAAATTAGCCCTCATGCGCCTCCCCAGAAATGTAGCAGGGTCATGATGCAGACTGCAGCTGTGAATGGTTACTGATGTGCACAACCCCTCTGTAGAACATAATTCAATCCATTATGGGATGTTATTCTATCTAGATTCCACATAATGCTAATGTAATTTGCCAGTGTAATCTGCCATCGCCTTGTTTTCATACCTCTGCTATTCTGTGCATGAACTCCGTCTCTTGTCTGCACTGCAATAATTAAAGTATTCATTTTGCTTCATCTCAAAAATGATCTTCTCCGTTTCACTCCTAGTTTTCTGAAGTAAGAGAATCAAGTCAGCAGCATGGAAACCCTGCTACCAATTTGTGTTTTGGAGGTGTAATTACAGAGCCATGCCCTGTCTTAGATAAAATGAAATAAACTGCAATTCAGCTTCACTCGGATTTTATTTGTGCAAAAGAAATCTGTGTCCAGTAACCTGGAGAATTTTGTCTCAAGACTTGTTTGAAGGCGATAGAGGGTCCAGTATGCACTGCATAGGGAAATGTAAAAGCTATTAAATGGTAGTCGTTTTATTATAGACATAAATTGAATTTCCCATTAAAGAAAAGTTATCAATTATAGTTCAGTCAGAACCCCTGTAGTTAAAAGTTGCCTGTTATTTCCTTCTGCAGTCATTTTTATATTTGTCGTCATTGACTTCATTCTGGGATCTTCCAATGCATTTACGAAAAAATTGCCTAAACTTGCACCATCAAATCTCCAGTCGGGCCTCCTTTTTGCTGCTATGTTTATAATCACTATAAATAAAAGGGTACTTTCAATTTAAATGCTGCTCTCACATTTTTTTTCCAGAAACTCAAAAACCAACTGCTCTCTTTCATTTTTGCGTCTTTAACACGCTGCACACACAGACAGCATGAAAAACACCAACTTATCAGTTAATCATCTAAACTTTTCTGCACCGTATCGATGCGACTGTTTGACAGAATAAAACCAAGTTAAAAAGTAAAAGAGACAGATGGTGATGCAGATCTAATGATGGACTCACTCTCTACTGGCCGACTGAGAGGTCTGGACACACATCACACACAGATACACACACACAAACACAGCTCCTCCTCAGAGTGGTCAGGCATGAATAGCAGCCGTATCCATGCCCCAGTATAATAGGGCCTGTGGGAAATGATTCACTCTTCTGTTTATGTGTGTCTTGTTTTCCACAATTTATTGAGTCACAGTAGAAAACACATGATTATGTGTGTGTTGGTAAGCAGAGGGTACCTGTGCAAACTTCCTTGTAGGTGGGGTTAGATGTGTAACCCCCAGAATAGCCCACTTGGGTAGAATAAACTCCTTTTTGCCTCCAAAACTTCCTCTCTGCACCCCAGAAGCAGCCCATACCTTCGAGGGGAAAAAATAAATAAATAAATAAAACAAATAACAGCAGTCTTTAACAACCAAACCAATTTAACAAGACAGTAAAGACCAGGTCACACCATGCATCACATCTGTGGGAGTATTTACTGAGTTGAGTCCCTCATTACCTTCTGTTGGCAGAGAAAACTCATAAAGATTCAGATGTTTGACTTTGATGTGAGCATTTACATGAAGAATAAAGGCAGACAAATACAGAAAATGAGATGCAGTTTGACTGGGAGTCGAGTTTGTACGGTGGATGGTAAATTACTTATTTTCTTCTTTCTACATTTGTTTCTTCTAATTGTTTTTTTCATGTGTCATGTTAATACGGTTGGAGATCCATTTAGTGTAGTCAATAGAAAATCATAAATCGCATGGCATGTGGATTTGATAGGAACTGTTTGCGTGCTTTAGACCAAACTGTGGATGATGAACACAAATAAAATTCAAAAGGAAATACAGAAATCAAAAATAAACTGCAGGTTACATGCATAACCCCGGTTCTCAGACTTTTATAGTAAACCCATATTTACAGAGTCTTATATCCACAGCTAAAAACTACAAACTTTATTTTACTTGCATAAGTCCAGTTTTCAGATTAGCATGTTAAGACGTCTCACTATGGAAGAGACATCCACTGTGTAGAAACGGACGTGAGGGGTGAAAAACAGCTTTTTTTCCTGACTGTGGAAAGAAAGACACATTCAAGTAACTTTGAATACGGTATGATTGTATGTGCCTTAGTATTTCAAAAATTGCAACTAGGATTTTACCCCACAACCATCTCCAGGGTTTACAGAGAATGAGCTGAAAATAGGAAAATATCTAGAAAATACCCATCCAGTTCTCAAGATAAGAATATCTTCTTGATGCCAGAGATCAGAGGAGAATAGTCAGATTGCTTTGAGCTGATCGAAGGGAACGGTAAGTACAATAATCCAGTAGGATCTGGTGGAACCATCATCATGGATTTGTGGCCAACAAATCTACAGAAATTGTGTAACGTGATCGTGTCAATATGTATCAAATGAGGAAAACTTCCAGCTCCTTGTTGAATCTGTGCAATGAAGCAAATCTGGTACTAGCAACATAAAACAGTATAATTTATATATGTATGCATGTGTTTTTATTTTTATTTGCAATGCTAATTTTGTAGGCTAACCTTATATATGTTTTGTCTTATTCTGGAAGGTGAATTACACAAATTATAAGAGAAGAGAAGCAGAGTGTTTGCAGTTATAGGTCTAAAAACAGCAGTGCAAAAAGAATAACTACAAAAATTGAATCTGTTGTTATATATCTAACTAAAATTTCACAGATATATCCAGGAATGGTAAGGATGCAGCAACTAACCCCGTGATGAAATATATTCAGATTAAAAATGCAAAAATCTGGGCGTAACATACAAGCCTATGGCTGTGAGTTTTAAAAGCAAGCCTGGTTCACAACTGGAGTTTATTTTTCAGCATGTTTTCAATTAATTTTCAGCATAACATTGGGTGACTAGTCTAATATTACATGTAGAGAAGAAGTAGGTAGCTAATGCTTCATTTATGCTTAAGTTCATGCGAGTCAACGTGACCATCAATAGGAAGCCCTCCACTTTCTGTTTGTATGTGTACATGAGTATATTTTCCCCTTTTTGTGGCTTGTGCATGTACAATAAATACTGAAGTTAACAAGGCAGGAAAGACTGAAATTGAAATCACTGAAATTACAATTACAATAAGCTGCAATGCAGGTTTTAGGTCATATCAGCATTTAAGCTAAACTGCATCAATTTCCTTGTACGTGTTTGGAGACACTTACCAAACATGGCCATCTCTGTTCCCTCTGGAAAAGGTGGAACAGTCCTGTTTCCATTCACATCGTGTTTTTCTGCAGGAGCAAGTGACAAAGAAAGACAAGGTATGAGAATTAAAAGATAAGAACCAAATGGCTCTATTCTCTGCTTCAGTTACGTTGTTATCTGCAGTGTGGTCATTGTTTACAGACACTGAGAGGATTTATTCATTAGATTTGCACCACTGGTACATGTTTCCCAACATGTTAATGTCTTCCTGAATCCAGTATAGGAGGGAGCAAAGACCACTCTGCATATGCCAAATCAGACTTTATCTGTAAATGTAATTAATATTCATGCCAGTATCATTTTAAAATAGCTGTTAAACAGTTTTTATTGTAGCCAGCTATCATCAGGGAATTTCTTTCCAAACGTACAGCACAATTTCAATAAAAAACATGCTTTTAACAAGACTGCACCACCAAAATACACAAGATGTAGTCCACACACACACACACACACACACACACACTGAGTGACCCACTTAGACAGTGGCGAACAGATCTACATAATTTCATAGCAGCTGCATTCACTCCAATCAGCACAGAGCCAGAGGTGCACAAGGACCCATTTGAGGCCACCCAGCCACCTGGCTGGGCTAACACACATTAGCATTAGCATGCTGGAGGCTGCATGTGTGTGTGTGTGTGTGTGTGTGTACAGATGGCTTGCTGTACAATGCTGTGGGGGAGGGAGATGGATTAAATTAAATGTGATGATGGAGGAGAATGAGAATAAACGTAACATCTGGATCCCCCCTTCTTACACCCTCCCCTGTTTTCACAAAAACACGCAAACATACATGCACACACACACACACACAGACACACACACAGTCTTCACGCGTGATCGCATAATTGACATGAGGGGCAGCATGCCTATAGACAAAAGCAGCCAGATGGACTGCCAACCAATCAGCAATGCGTGTGCGCACACATCAGAAAATGATTTTTGATTATCAGTTTTTACATTTTGCACTTGGTGTTCTCAGATTTTTTTTTTTCATTTTGTACAAACACAAAAAGACACACTTTATCACAGTCTGAGCGAATGAGTCGTCCTTGTTTGTCTGATTACATGAGCAGCTTTTCATCCTGTGTCAGCCCGACAAAAATCTTCAGACACTTTCTCATCTTCCTCTGGATTCTGGGGGAGGAAGGTTTGGAGCTGCAGCCATCTCCTGCCCTGACTTGGGTGGAAATGACTGCACCTCCTTGCCTTTACTCCCTTTACAATCCTACCGTTAGATTAGTATTCCATTGCACGATATCCCACAATATCCCTGTTGTTCCTAATGTCCGAATGTGCACAACATTTGCAATTGATACAAGCTGAAAAAGCTGCTGTGTGTACAGTGACATAATTATTTGTTCAAATGTTTAAATATGATGTAAAGTGAATGTATAATAAAGAATAAAGTGAATAAACTATTTTTTTGGACATTTTCTATGTATCTCACAAATCAAATCCAAATTGATCCGGTTGAATTACCAACCTTAGAATATTGACAAAAAAAATAATTTTCAAAATTTGAATGGTTGACTATAATATATATATAGTCAAGCAATCTTATGGATTTTCTTGCATATATCCACATTTCTATCCTCTGCTATAGCCACAAGCTGTGGGTAATGACTGCAAGCATAAGCCTGCAGATGCAAGTGGTGAAAATGAGCTTTCTCTGAAGGGTGCCTCGGCTCAGAAAGGGTGAGGCGCACAGTCAGTTGGGAAGGGCTCAGAGTAGAACTGTTAAGATAATTATTAGAGGTGGTTCAGGCTTCTGAATATGATGCCGCCTTGGTGAGGTGTTTCAGACATGAACAACTGGAAGGAGAGCCCAGGACACTAAGCTGACCTGGGACCGCCTCATTTTCCTAATAGAAGACCTGAAGGTGGTATCTGGGGAGAGGGAGGACTGGGCATGTCTGTGTTGACTCCAACCTCCACCACCTCTAACCCAGATGAGGAGCAGAAAATGAATAAATGGATAGATGGATATCAGGATGGCTCAGAATGGCTCTTTGGGTGTGTCTACAAAATTATATTACACTACAGTGAAGGTAGCAAGACTGTGTTATATTATCTTCACTAATATCTGTATATTTTTTGTCATTATTGGAAAAATGGATGCTATGCCTGACTTAATAAAAGCCCGATTATCAAAACTGCTTAAAAAATAATTTCCCTTTGGCTCTCACTAAAACCTTTTTGGAAGATGTGTAAATTCCCACTGTGAAGGAAAAACCCTGAATATACAGCATTTTGCCCTGCAGGAACCCAAACGTTGTCTGTTGGCTAATCCACAGTGTAATCCAGTGTGCTGATACTGGGTGCCTTCTTCTGTCTTAATTGGACAGATGCTGAGAGATTTTTCATCTGAGATGCCCCAGTTTCCAGACACCGGAAAACTGGATTTAAACTCTAGAATAAACGCTGGTAACGGAATGATTTTTGGCACAAAACCAAGGGAGTTGAAAGTCATAAAAATCATCACAAATGAAGCTTTAATCCAAAAAGCATCAACCTTCAACAACCTGCAAATCCCTGTGATTTCAAATGGAAATTTAAGATCCTGCACCTTAATACTGGTACACATTCTCAGCATCCCCTTTCCTCCCCTTTCCTCCTCCTCCCACATTATCCTGTGTGTGTGTGTGTGTGTGTGTGTGTGTGTGTGTGTG